GTATGGCACATGCATAAAAGGTGAGAGAAGCATTGCGAGATGGGATAGGTAGGAGGAATAATAATAATAAAAAACATAAGCCTAAATAAACTGAAAATTCTTTTTCTTTTGCCAGGTCATACTGATGGCATTTTTTCACAAGAGTTTCCTCATTAGTGTCTGCGCTAAGTAAATAGTTTTCATTCTGATCTGTTCCATTTGTGGGTGCATGCTATACTGGAGTTTTTTGTTTTGTTTTGTTATTTTTTTTTGAGAAGGTAATGGAATTTTTTATATTGCCATTAAATGGTAATATAAAAAAATTTATTACCTTCTCTGGAGGATATTGGAGAGGGTTGAAAAAGAAGAGCCACTAGTTCCTATATAGATAACATTCTAGTAGTGGGTCACCAGAATAAATTTAGGTTGACTGTGAAAGATAAAATGGTTAAAGGGATATCCATTAAAAGGCAGAAATTATGGAAGAGATAGAAAGGTAAGACTTTGTAAAAAGAAGCTGGCATTTACCTAAAACAGAGAAAGGGATCCCAGAGTGAAATCCTAGTAGAAGGGCAATGGGAATTATTCTGGAAGTGTGATATTAACACAGAAGATGCAGTGATGGCTAAGCAAAACTGAATGAGTGTAATCACATCAACATAACCAAATTAGATGCAGTATATCAATTTGTTCTTGAGGTGGGGCTGTAAGATGTTGAAATCTGGACAGATTAAGTTATTGTGCTTGGGTGATGAAGTTAATAGCCACATGTAAGAAGATAGTACAAAATAAATGCAGCTGCAGAAATGTTCATTAAGCATTATCTGAGCTAAAACTGCATGTAGGCTTTGTGTCTTCAGTATAAAAAAAGAAGCATATATTCTCACCAGAGACAGTAAAACGTGGCTGAGGGTACTAGAAGATTCAGAGAGAGGAGTAGCTGCTGGGCTTTATTTGGAATTAAAGAAAGTGTACAGAGGTAGAATGGACTGACATGTCACCAGTAAGGTTGTTCAGGTGATTAGTTGTGAGAGATGTTAGATGATTGACCCTGTGCCAAGTGTGCATGATCTGGGAGAGGCCAAGGTGAGAAACTACTGGATAAGGCTGGTTATTAATGCAACACAGTATTGAGAAAAACAAAAAAAAAAAAAAAAAAATAAAAAAAAAAAAAAAAAGTGTATCTCAATAACAGAGTATATGTCAAAACAAGCAGCCAGAGGGAAGTTAGGGCAGAGACTGGGGTCATAATTATAAGGATACTGAATAAAGTATTTTAAAAGAGAGGACCAGAGAGATGGTCATTAATCAATAACATCACCGCAATACATTTGGAAGTACCAAAAGAGATGCTAAATGTTGCCGGGAGGTAAGTGGGGGTTAGTTGGCCTTACTTTGGCCCATCTGTTGGCACTGGAAGTTGAATTAAGAGTTGTCTTTTTCCTCAACATGTTGCATTTCTTGGGAGCCAGAGTTCAATTTACTTGAAAGACATGGGAAACACCACTTTAGCAATAAATATGTGTATTATCAAATCCCTTAAGAAAAAAAGGGGGGCAGTATGGCTTGGTATAATTTCATAAAAAGCAATTTTTTATTAAAATTTGTAATTAATAGAGATATTTTAGGAATAAAATCACATCACAAATATCCAGATTTTGAAAGCTACTGAGAGTAAAAAATTAAATCAATGAATAAGTTCATGCACACATTTATATAAATATATAATCTGTGAGGGAACAATTTTATTAGGACTTTAAAAAACAGACATTTTAAAAGTATAGAAAAATATATTACAACAAAGGGGGAGGGAGAGCAAGGGAAAAAAATTCTTACTATAATGTAGTGGATAAAAAAAAGAAAGAAAAGAAAGAGGGCTAATTGGTTATCACTCCTGGCTGTTCTGAGCCAACTGAGGACAAAAACAAATGTGTTCAAAAAAAAAAAAAAAAAAAAAAAAAAAAAAAAATAAATAAATTACCTTTTACAATGGTCTTACAATATTTGTTCAAAATATATATGTGCACACACTATGTAAAAAAACAAAAACAAAAAAAATCCCTTGTACCAGTGAAAAGTCCATATAAAAAAGGAAAACTGAGAAGTAAGAGCAGACAACTGCTGATATCCCCTGTGTGCCAAGTGATTCGTGGAGGGTCTGTCTACGAAACTCTGGAGTCAGGATGTTGAAGGTAACATTAATCAGCTAAGTGACAGACCTTTTACTTGTATTAACATATTTAAAAAAAAAAAAAAAAAAAAGTACCTAATAAAAATAGACATTCAACAAGTTGCTTCAAATTAAAAGTGACAGATTTTAAAATTATTTAGTCAATGATTTGGAATATCAAGAAGCCATGATGGACACAAAAAAAAAAAAAAAAAAAAAACTTACGTATAAGTTATATTAAATCCAGACATATCAAATGCCACATCACTGTAAAACATGAGGTAAGCAGTCCCTGACTTGGCTGTAAGTTCAATAGCAGCATTTGACTTTTGATCTGGAATAATTAACCCACTGAAATTAAAAACAAAAGTAAAAGTCAGTAAATTGTAAAACAAATTGATTTATTCAATTTAAATCTGTCTTCTGTAAGCAAATGTGATTGCAAGAGACTTAAAATTTGTTACAGATGCTTGGAAATGGAAAACAAAAAGTTTTTCAATATTTTTTTTTTAAATCAATTTACCCCAAGCAAGGTGATACTGCCACTAGGAGCATTGGGCTAAGTGACTACTTTAGTTTTAATAAATAAAATGCATGCACAAACAAATGGTTTTAGTAATGTAACCAGGATTCGATATATCAAAGAAAAACAGATTCAAAGGATTTTCAGTATTTTTTTCTCAGGATCTTTTAAATATTTTTTTTTTTTTTTAAATGAAAATTTTAAACTCCAATATCCATATGAACAACATAAAAATAAATTTTTTAAGGACAAAGATTTTATTTTTAAATTTGCTTCAAAATTCTGAGAAAATTTTATGATGGAATTTTGAAAGAGTTCTAACAAGTATGATTTTATATTGTCAACCTTAAATGAAGTTTAGCAGAAAATATTTAGGGATTGATACAATTTCTGCCAATTTTACAAAGTACATTATTTCATAATTAAACCATTATTTATGCAATTAGAGGCCAAAAATATCTGGCTAGTAAGAAATTATACAGTATTTCCAAGTTTCTAGACTAACTTCTCACTTGTGGAAGTCTTTCAGTTTCTTGCTTTCCAGTCAACCTTGATCTTCAAAAATTTAAATGTAATGTCAATGAACCTCTGTGTTAATTCCTGTTCTTTTATTGCTCTCTCCTTAATGTTTTCTTTTCCTCATGTTCTCTCATTCAGTAACCCTTTGAAGCTTAGTAGCATTATTGCCTTGCTCTGGTTAAAAGTCTAAAACAAAAAAAAACAAAAACTCTTCATTGTTATAAGTTATGCAATCAAGGGAAAATAAACATGTTTATTAGATTAAACAATCTACCACTCCTTTCCAGAAAAAAAAAAAAAAAAAAAAAAAAAGCATCTGATCTGACTCAGTCCCAATAAAATACATAAAAATTTCACATGCACAAAAAGCAAAATCCAAATAAGCCAACTTATCAATAAAGAATTTAAAAATGAAACCCGAGCTGTTACAGATTGTGTGTGTGTGTGTGTGTGTGTGTGTGTGTAGGATGCGATGGATAATTGTAATCATCTAAATTACACGAAAATGAAAATAATATTGACATCTCATTTTAACACATATTTACCAACATCACACAAAACTATCTTGAAATAATAAATAATAATTTATTCAAACAAATAAAAAAAAAAAAAAAAAAAAAAAAAAAAAAAAAAAAAAAAAAAAAAAAAAAAATTCCCCACTAGCTTCAAGCACAGCCTCCAGACAACTTTGGAATCTCCTGTAACTCTTCTGGACGGTCTCCTTGTTTAAGTTGGTGAATGCTTGCCTTCAGTTCATCTTTGGCATTACAAGGAGTTTTGTTGGTCTCTTGCTCAACTGTGCCCCACACATAATAACCAAGGGGTTTTGCAGTTTGGGGAGTTGTATGGCCAGATGTAAGGGGTGATGTGGTTGCAGAAATTGTCTGACAGCCATGACTGGGTTCTCTTGCTTGTGTGGCATGGTACAGAAACCTGTTGCCAGACATAAGGTCTTCCAGCAGTCACCCTCTTGACCAAAGGCTTCACTACCTCCTCAAAGTACTTTATGTAGGCCTCTATGATGAGTGAAGCCCTGTGGGAAGATGAATGGAGGTATAACGTTGTCATTACTAGTGATTACTCCAAGCACCATGATGATGACTGGATATATCATCAAACTCTTTTCTAATCCTCTGCACTGTCCTCAGATTGACACCTAAACACTGAAATGTTAGTATTGGAGCTTCTGATGCCAATATCAAGCAGTATATAGTTTCCAAATTTCTGGTGGCGTGAAATATCTCATGGTATCATTCCCCCCCCCCCCGAGTGCTTAACTGACCCTACTATACCGTGCAGTTGACAAAATAAAACAGACATGCATATACAAAATTAAAAATATAAAACTGATCATTTACTTATCACAGTCTATATATATCTCAAAATAAAAAGAAAGAAGATTTATAATCCAGAGTACTTTTACATTAATTTTTAAAAACAGCACTTGATACTTAAATGTAAAAGAACTCTGGATTATAAATATGACTGTTCTTTCTTTTTATTTTGATATATGTATATTGGCTCCCACTTAGGTTGAGCACTATTAACCTTCATTTAAAAAAAACAAAACAAAAATAAAACAAAAAAACAAACTTAATATGGAAAAAATAAATTTCAGGATATCTCTGAAGAATATTCCAAATACAAACATAAGGAATTATTTCATCAAATTAATACAAAAAACAGAGCAACTAATATGAAAGATGAAGTGAGGAGCATACTACTTTCTACAGAAGTACTTATCAAATGAACCCATGATTTATGGTTTTAATAGCAAGAAAAGAAAAGGTTGTTTGCATTTGAAAAAGATTCACTTGATATAGTAAACAATATCTTTCCACAAAAAGAAAAAGACTCCTAAAAACATCTGGACCAAATAATAAAAGATATAAATGAACCAGATAAAGTATTAGTGAAGTTTGATAAAACTGGAAATTTTTACAAATTAGCAGCAAAAGACTAAAACACTCTAGTTAAAAAATTTAACAAAGAACTATAAAAAAGTTAATAATAATAATGTTAATATGGTAGAAAGTATAAATGTAACTAGTAAGAAAATCAAGGATAAATTAAAAATTAGTGATAGAGTAGGTAAACTCACCAAAAAAGATGACTATATTACCATCAAGGACCACAAACCCTATTTTGATGCTAATCCTACTACCAGAATTATAAATCCAACCTGGCCTGAGATTGGTAAAATTAGTAAAAAAAGCCTGGAAAGAGTTAACAAATAAAGGATTAACTGGGATTAACACAATGGATTAACACCAAAGAAGTCACCAATTGATTTTCAAATATTAAGGATAAATCAAATTGTACCCTAATACAGTTCAACATTGAAGAATACTACCCATCAATATCAAGGGAACTTTTTTCAGCTACCCTGGAATTTGCTATGATCTATCTGAGGAAGAAAGTAACAATTATGAATGCAAAAAAAAATCTGTCCCCATTCATAATGACAAATGGTGGATAAAAAATTCTGAAGACTATTTTGATATTGACAATGTGATCGTTGGACTCTGCAGAGTCTTCCAACCTTGTTGGTCTATTTAATTCATATAATCTAAGTACACACCATAAAATTAATATTAAAGACATTGAACTGTATAGGAATGATGGCCTTATGGTTGTGAGGAAGTCTACAAACTTTAAAACTGATAAGGTTAGAAAACTAATACATAGAAAATTTAAATGCCTAAATTTGAAAGTTACTGTTAATACAAAATTAAAAAAGGTAAACTTCCTTGATATAACATTAAACTTAATGAATAATATATACCAACCTTATAAAAAAACCTAATACTAATCCTTTATATATCCACCCAAATCATCCCCATCTATAATGAAGCATATACCTTCACCTATTGAAAAAAAGAATAAGTATAAATTCTGCTAATGAAAAAATATTCTATGAACACAGTAAATTTTATAATAAAGCTTTAAAGAATAGTGGCTATAAATGCCTGACACTAATTATATATAAAAAAAAATAATAAAAACCAGAAGAAATAAAAGAAATCATTTGGTATACACCCCCATTCAACCAAATGGTTAGTAGTAACTTAGGACATAAATTTTCACTTCGCCACATAATATACTTGTATTTTCATTTGTCAAACAAACAAACAAAAAAAAAAAACAATACCCACTTAATAAAACATTTTGAATTCTCATTCCCTGGCAGCTTAAAATATATAATACCATTTGGCTTCTAAATAGAGTAAATCATTTTTTTCAAAGGTTATTCTGCATTGCTTGAAAATGGAACTGAACTTTAAATTAAGATTTAGGTTTTGAAACCTGGTAATTTCTGTGTCACAATGAATACATATTTAAAAAAAAAAATAATGATGTGTGTGTGTGTATATATAATTCATGGTACTTATTGGAAAGTGCTCTCAATATCAGTGCTATCACTGATATTGAGAGCACTTTCCAAGCTAACTGTTAATATTCCATTGTATGGATATGCATTTGTAACCCAGGGTTACAAACTTATATCCATACAATGGAATATATATATATATATATATATATATATATATATATATATATAGCCACCCTAATTAGGAAAGAACATAATAAATTATGTAGAAAATACTTAGGAATCCTAATAAACCTTTTACCCTCATGTCAAATACACTATATTATATCACCAACTTTTATAAAATCCATACTTAAAGAATCTAAGATTTGTCTACCTGGGTAACCTAAATTCCTTCAATCTCACACAAAATATCCCCCAGTCAACATAAGGACACTACCAGGCATAAATAAATATGCCCAATAGGTACTTTCATACACACATTGATTCACAGGACAAATACACAATGTCTGCTTGACTAATGAAAAAACTATACAAAAATGAAAAATAATTTTTTTTCTCTTCCCTATTTCATTTTTTGATAAAGCCAAAAAGGTTAAATTTATAAATATTTCTTATCTTTTCCTTGTCATTATATATGACAGAGAGCACGCATCTTTTATGAATTTTATCAGAAATTAAACTTTCCCCCAGTAAAAAGGTAGATAAGATGCCAGTGCCCAAAACCGAAAATATATTACTTTTATCAGAAGGGCAAAAATAGTAAAAAAAATCAGAATAGAACTGATGAATGCAAAAATAGAGCAGATTTGCTTCATTCAATAATTACACCAAAAAATCATCATAGGCTGCTAAATTAAAATTGCATAACACTGGACACTTGCAAGTCTATTGATTTGTTAGAAACAAGTAAATAAATAAATCTTTAAAATGGTTCACTTAGTTTTATTTTGTACTTACAAGCATTGTGACCTACAT